TTGTTACATTTAATCTTTTAAATTGTAATCGTTAATAGATGGATAAAACAATCAAAATGAATATTTATTTGTGACACATCGATAGTTATTCTTTATTATAGTTTGTCAAAGTCTCAATGTGTTCATAGATGCAATATATAGTAATAAATATGTTTTATTGCTTAGAAAAAAGACGCAAAAAAAAAGTGAGAATAAAATTTCACTCTAATTTTAATGATATACAACCGTTATTCATTCAAGATTAAGTATTTTTCAATAAGTAAGTATTGGATTTTAGACAATCAAGATATTAAAGAAAAATCATCTTAAACTGGTTGATATGTTGATAGCTACAGGATTTTTTATAGTATCTAATAGAAATGACAGCAAGTCTTTGAAATACTGACCATAAATTGAAATGAACCATCAATAAACTAGTCTTAAAAAAATATTTTGACTTTGATATTTAATTCTTACTTTATGATAACTATGCCCATTGGCTAGAGATCGTTTATCAGATCGTCGATAAATGTTTGATTAGACGCATTATATACACATTGCAATGACATCGATTGAAATGCTTTGAATCCTGTTTCTTTTAATACTTGTTCGTGAGTTGTTGGCAAAGATTTACAATGAATTATAGCCAGTATTGTAAAGACTGACGATAATTTTTCTATTATCAGGTAAAATGTCGTCTATCAGAGAAATGTTGGTGTATATCGTCATAGGATATTTACATTTATCGAGCATGGTCTTTTATGCTGCAGTATTGTCGATCATGCGAATAAGATTTGTGTTTTCAACAAGTTTTATATTTATATATTGCCTTATTAAATTCTGTGACTGTGACGATTCTAAACGGACATACAGATAGTATATAAGAGATGACAATACAAAAAAAAACAGAAAGATATGAGAAGATGACAGTTTTAGAAAAATGCCATATTAGAAGTTTTCAGTGAATCCTGCTAAAAAATAGATATTTGTTTTTCTCTAGCGATATAACTGAGTTTTCCTGAAATATAACAAGATACAATTTTAGATATCATATAATAAGATGGCAGATAATAGAATGATTAAGTGATAAAAAGTTGTGTGTGAATAAAAATCAGAGACTAAAACGAATAAGAAAATTATCATTGAGTTCAGTTTGACTATTACAGCAACAGAAAAAAAATGATATTCTCATCTTCTTACATTATTTATTGATTAAGCTACATAGTTCTGTATGTTCTCATTCTAGTTACCTGTTCTATATTTGATATATTCATACATATTCAAAGAAAAATTTATTTGATTAAAATAAAAAAGTACAATAGAAAATAGATTTTATACAATTAAATTACTTATAGAAATTCGACATTAATGAAACGGATAACAATATATAATAGATGCTTGAAAGATTGAAATGCAATTTAGTAAGATAATAAATGATCTATATTTTGTTTGTACTTATTAAACTATGATTGAATAGTTTTCAATATTATCTGTTTTGTTTCCAAAGTGTTTGTAATACAGAGAACAAAACTCGATAATGACAGCTTCAGTCGATTTCACTCGACAAAATCTATATGCAATTCAGTTTTGGTCTCTGATTGTTATTCATTCGTTTGTTGTCTTGATTGAATATTGATATTCATTATAATCTTTATTGTTATTTTTCTTTATTTAATCTTGTCTCTACTATATAATCAAATATATTTAAGTTTCCTAGAGATGTATACTTGCAATAAGGACTAAGATAATAAATGTTTGCAGTAATAAGAATGAGACTAGAGAAATAATGTGAGTTTTAATTAAAAGAAAATGACGTCGTTTACAAAATGAGTACCGTGAGACCACAATCTATAATTATTGTTTAAAGGGAAGAATAATAGTTTTGAGCTAATTAACTATTGTTGATGAAAATATAAAATAAACACCGTGTATTCATCACAACGGAATGAACGATCATAACCTTGAAGACAAAAAAAAAGAAATAGTTTCGTAGAAGTCACATATATTTTTCAAGAGAATCATGAGAATAATTTTATAGTTGAAGTGTTTCTGCTTCTCTATGTTTTCCTTACAGTCCTTAGCAATCGTTGTCAAAGGTCATTGAGAATGAACTTTCGTCTAGCATTTGAGAATAATAAACACTAGATTTCTTTCCGATAATCCTTTAGCAAACGGAAAAAGATGTTGAATGACACTAACTAAACGCTTCGATTACTCGAGACTATTTCGAAACGTTCTTTGAATTTTCAATTACTGAAATAAGTTTTTTAATAAGTAGCAGGTTCTGATTTTTTTGCAGATAAACGTTTATATTATAGATTTCAAGAATAACGTCGACTTATCTATTGATTTTCTGCATGCATTATAAAGAGAAATCGATTAAAAAAAAGCATAAGCTGATCAATTTTCAACTTGCCGGTAAATCAAGACAGCGAACAGTATGTTCAGACTTGTTGAAAATATACTGGATATGTACAAGAGACTAATTTTTCAGCTAGCTCAATGATTAGAAAAATAAAAATAACGTTAATTTAATAGAAACAAAATAACAAAAAGAAGACGAACACATAAATAGCCAATCGCAATAAAATAGGACAGATTCTTTCTCTGATGATCAATTATTTTTTTTTGAAAAGAACAATAGCCTGCTAGAGATTTTTAACCTTAGGTATTTTGAATTAATATTAAGAAACTAATGAACATATATAAGCTTCACATATTAGTCCCTCAAGGGGTTGCATGATTTCTAATTATCAGATGTGAAACGGACTTTCAACTTCAATCTACATCTAAGAAAATAATTTAAAATAGTAAAAAAAAGAAGATAATTTTACGTTTTTTGTTGAACATCATAATGAAATAGTAAAACTTCATGATCAAATCCTAGTAAATAAAAAAAAAAAGGTTACAATAAGAATGAGTAACGCTACGGAAATAAAAAATTTAATTAAACGTTTCTCATTCACTCGTCTGCATTATATTATATTTCATTCAATGGAAATCGATGCATTATTTGCTAATTCCCTTGATCTTTATCCATCAGATGTTATCATTATATAAAAACTATTGTTGTATCTAATCTCTCGTTGATGATGTAGTTTTTCTTTATATTTATAATCATTTTCATTAAATAATATCACTCATATTTATTATTTATTCATAGAAAAAGGTCTTATGTCTATCATTAAATCTAGAAAAAAATTAAGCCTACTCTTTTTGACTTTTCCAACGCCTACAAGATTTCCAACAACACTTAATAGCTAACAAGAATAATATTTACATTTAATAAGAGAGTTTATTTTTAAAGATAGAAGTCGGTCAAATCTATGATTTTTGACATAAGTAAGAGCATTTTAATGACGTCAATCCAATGTTTATGATAAAACTTTCAATGGATCTTTTAAAAAGTGTTGAAATATTGACCGCTAATTTTGAAAAAATTAGATGTTCATTTAAATAATATTGTATATATTCGTTTTTTAGAAATTCATGAAAATTAAATGACAAAAATCTCAAAAAAAATAAAAAAGAGAATCCAATGAGACAGTTTACATGTATTATTCTTTAAATAGCAATGTATAATTCTTCAATTTCATTATAATTTTCTTTAAAATTCTATAAATAATTCTTTTCAAGAACATATTATTTATTATCTATTTATAGAAAAGAAGAAAGTTCAATAAGAACTTTTATCATTAATATCAATTTCTTGATGGATTTTTTCAAATATCTCAAATCAATATTTTTTGCCATAATCTATACATTTTTTTTGCGTTATAAATATCATCAATACGTTCAACGGATATCTTTATTCTATAGTTCAGTCAAAAAAAAAAAATTCATTTTCTTTTCAATTAATAAAACGAATTCAAGTTATTTAATGTAGATAATAAATTCTTTTAGTATGACGTAGAATATCTCTGCCAAATAATTAAACCTGTATATTCTCATATCAATTTATTGATCACTATTTTCCATAATCATTCTACTCATAATTGATGAATTAACATCATTTTAGCATTAATTTTTTCACTATTTTAATACAAAATTGAGCTCAATAGATAATTTTTCATCTAATAGCTTTGCTATTACAAACACGATATAATCATTAACAACGATTACAAGCCATTAAATGATTCATAAAAGAAACAAATTTTGTAAAAATTTTTTTTTCTCATCACTTACAAACAAATATATCTATATCGTTTGTGTCATATCAGATGAGTTATTTTATATCAAAAAAACTAATCAAATTTTTGAAAATCAGCTTCAATTGAATGACATTTATTCTGTTTTGATACCGTTGAAAATAATACTAGTGCATCACGACCTTCTCTATAGCGAGTACTAGAATTGATAGAGGTAGAAGGAAGGATGACAAAGAATCCGACGGAATTGATAAAGCAAATGTTGTTGTTTGACATGATAAATTATTTGTACTAATATAACGGTTTAGTTGAAGATGAAAAATAAATAATCGACTCACTAGTTTCCTTTAGAATTACAGAAGGAAGGAAGAGAAAAAAAAATAAGCAGTTTTTTTTTTTCATTGGTTGGAATAAGTCCTCTATTCTTGTGTCGCTTTTGATTATTGACGTCAAAATAGTATGTGTTGAGATTTCTTTTGAGCACATCTTATGAACGAGGTTTTATAATCGATATTGTTTTGTTTT